CCCATAATATCATTTTTTTTTAATGTAACGTTAAGTTTGTTATATATTTTTTGATTTTCAAGCATTGTAATATGAACTAATTTTTTCCAAATATTGTAGCAGTATTGATCTCCATTTTGTAATTTAACAACATATTCTCTAGATTTTTTTGCAAATAATTTATCTGAATCATATTTTTTTTTTGCTTCACAGTAAAGTTTTTCAAGTTCTTCTAAAGAAGTGGTACTATTTTTTGATATACTTGTTAATTTTATATCTTCTAAATATGCAATCAACATACCAAATTGCGTTCCCCAATCACCGATATGATTTGCTCTAATTACATTATGACCTAAAAAATGTAATATTCTTACTATTACATCACCAATAATAGTAGATCGAAGATGTCCAATATGCATTTCCTTAGCAATATTTGGAGAAGAATAGTCTATAACAATATTTTTTGGCGTAGTCACCTTTATCCCAAGACGATATGAAATAAAAATTTTTTCTAATTCTATAGATAACCAATTATGACAAATAAAAATATTAATAAAACCAGGTTCAGAAAATGTTATTTTTTTATATATATATTTTTTTTTTATATTATAGATAATTATTTTAGATAATTTATATGGTTCTAATTGTAATGTATTTGCTATTTTAATTAGATTGTTCAGTTGATAATGACCTAATTGTATTTTTTTGTTTAATATAACAATAGGATGACAGTATTTTATAGGATTAATTCGAATTAAAACATTTTTAATATCTTTTTCTAGTATATCTTTTAAATTCATGCTAAAACCTTTTTAAAATAAATTGAAATGATTTTTTTATTTAACACTTCAATAAAAAATATATATTTAATAAAATTTTATTAAATATAGAGTTTATTTATTTTTTATAATATATTATATTTTTTTTATTATTTATTAAATATCATTTTATTAAAATTATATAAAAAAATATTTTATAAAAAAGGTTGACAAGGTAATTAAAAAAATGTAAGCTCTACTCTAAAGTTTCAAAAATATAAAAACGCTCTTTAAAAAAATATTAGATAATCTGTGTGGGCACAGACAATTAAGTACAAAAATTATTTTTTGTTATTTGATAATCTCTTAGAGATTAATTTCTTTAAGAAAAGTT